ATGGCTGGAAGCAGCACATGTCTCTACTTTTACAGAACTCGTCAACCTGATGCTTGTTGAAGAATTCTTGAGACGTGTGCCGCCTCCTGTCCGCCTCTACTTAGCAGATAAAGAAGAAACCGACTACCTGAAGTGTGCTAAGTCGGCTGACACTTACAGCCTCATCCACCGGCTGACACCTGAACCATCCTCCAGTAAGAAGTCGTGGTACAGTTACGAGAAGGTGAGCCCCGATCAAGCTGGTTCACAACTGTACTGCAAATATTGTAGACTCTATGGACATACCATAGACAAGTGTGGTAAGTCTCAATACAAGGGAACCACTGACCAACAACGACCCAAACCAACTCCTCCTAAGTCCGGTAAGCCTGTGATGAATGTTGGTGTTGATGTTAATGATCTTTCTCTTTTCAGTAACCACCTGTATACTGGAACTGTCTCTGCCAACGGTTCAAATCCGGAGGGACGTTTCAAATTGAAGATCTTGAGGGACACAGCGGCTCTACAATCGATCATCTTGAAGTCGGCTGTGCCCAACATAGTCTACACCGGGGAAACAGTCTTCATCACTGACCTCACTGCTACCACTCCATACCCTCTCGCCAGAGTCCACCTGGATTGTCCCTACGTGAACGGGGAAGTCCAAGTCGCCGTCAGGGAAAAGCCTTTTCCCATGCCTGGAGTGCAACTTCTCCTAGGCAACGACTTGGCAGAAGACCTGCAACCAACCAACCTGATCGTCATGGACAAACCCCAGGTGTGTAACTCTGTGCCAAGTAACCCTATTCTTGAGTATGTTCCAGCAGAGGTTCAAGAGAGTGATGATGTTTCTCCTCCGGTTCTCGTGACCACCCGTGCACAAGCCGCACGTCCACAGCCAGCTGACTCTACTGCTACCGCTGTCCCTCAAGACCCTCAGAAACTACCCCCGCATCTGACCAAGTTGGAGTTCCGTAAGTTGCAGAGGGAAGATCTTACTTTAACACCATTGTTTTTCCAGGCTGAGACTCAACCCGACAGTATTCCTGGGTTCTTCCTAGAGAACGACTTACTCTACCGCAGATATAGACCCAGTAAACTGAAGGAGGAGGACGATTGGGCCAACACCGAACAACTTGTGATTCCCACCAGCCTGCGGCCCACTATTCTACACCTGGCCCATGGAGCATTCTCCCACTACGGCTTCAACAAGACTTACCATGGGATTCGCCAAGACTACTACTGGCCAGGTATGGTAAACAACGTCAAACAGTACGTAAAACAGTGTCATACATGTCAGATGGCAGGCAAACCGAACGTCTCCATTCCCAGAGCACCACTGATTCCCATACAGGTGCCTGCGGAACCTTTCCACAGACTCATAATAGACTGTGTCGGTCCTTTACCTCGGACCAGTTCAGGTAACGCCTACATCCTAACCATCCTGTGTCCTACCACCAGATTTCCCATAGCAGTTCCAGTGAAGAACATCACGGCTGCTACGGTTATCAAACATCTATTGAAGATCTTCACTCAATACGGATTTCCCAGGGAGATTCAAAGTGACTGTGGCACCAACTTCACCAGTGATCTCTTCAAAAGGACACTGGAGGAGTTCAACATCAAACAGGTATTGTCCAGCCCCTATCATCCTGCTTCACAGGGTTCTCTTGAACGTAGTCATCAGACCATCAAAGCACTCTTGAAAAAGTTTTGTAGTGAAACCTCAAAGGATTGGGATAAGCAGATTGACCTAATAATGTGTATTTTCAGAAGTCTCCCCAATGAGTCCCTAGGAGTATCTCCTTATGAGATGCTCTACGGCCGTAAGTGCCGTACTCCCCTTAAGGCTTTCAAAGACTCTCTCAGAGATGCCACCTTCAGTGAGCATCAGAATGTGCCCCAGTTTCTTCAAAACCTTCAACACATTCTAGAGAGAGTCCACCGCTTTGCCCATGATAATCTATTGAAAGCCCAGGTGAGAATGAAGACTCATTACGACCAGACCAGCAAAGTAAGAAAATTCAAGCCGGGAGACTTCGTCCTTGCTTATTTCCCTATCCCAGGTTCACCTTTACAAAACAGATTTTCAGGACCCTACTGCGTCAAAGAGTGCAGGAATAATAATAATTATGTGATAGAGACTCCAGATAGGCGGCGGAAGACCCAGCTGTGCCACGTCAACCTCCTGAAGCAATATAATGGTACTCCTCCCACTGTCTTGACTAACTATTCCACATTCACAGAACCCTACATCCACAGTGAGACCTTCCCAGCTTCTCCTCCCGAAAGCACTGACAAGGAGTCAGCGCTTTCTAATTCCGAAATCCTTAATGATCTTCCCAAATACTTTCAGGATAATCATAGTGCACCTCTCGTCAAGATCTTCAGAGAACATCAAGAGTTGTTCAGAGATGATCCCCAAGAGTGTAATGTTACCCAGCACGACATCCAACTGCTCCCCGACACCCGGCCGATTCGTCAACCCTTCTACCGAATCAGCCCGAGCAAGAAGGAAGTCATGCGTGCTGAGGTGCAATACCTCTTGGATCATGGACTGGCTACACCTTGTGAGTCCCCCTGGGCCTCACCCTGTATCTTGGTGCCCAAACCCCAAGGTAAGGTGCGGTTGTGCACCGACTATCGTAAACTGAACTCTGTCACTGTCAAGGATGCTTACCCCTTGCCAAGGATAGATGACATCCTTGATGCCATTGGTAGTGCCCAGTACTTGTCCCAAGTGGACTTGCTTAAGGGGTACTATCAAGTGTGTCTAACGGAGCGCGCTAAAGAGATATCTGCCTTCATCACTCCTTTTGGACTTTTCAGATATGAACGCCTTCCTTTCGGACTATGTAATGCCCCGGCCACCTTTCAAAGAGCTGTCAACCGTGTCATCCAGGGCTTGGATAACACATACGCCTACCTGGACGATATCGTCGTAGCCTCCAACTCCTGGAGTGCACATCTGCTCCAGCTGCGACGTCTGTTCTCCAAGCTCCTGACAGCCGGCCTCACCATCAACCTGGGCAAGTCCACTTTCGCGAAAGGTAAAGTGCGTTATCTGGATCATGTTATTGGGAGTGGCAGCATAGCTCCGTTAGACTCACACACTCAAGCCATCCTACAGTATCCACAGCCTACCACCAGGAAGCAGCTCCTGCGCTTCCTTGGTCTTGCCTCTTACTACCGTAGGTTTGTGAGGAATTTCAGTACAGTCGCCACACCTCTAATTCTATTAACCAGTCCCAAGCAACGGTATAATTGGACCATGCAGCAAACCGTTGCTTTCGAACAACTCAAATTCCTCCTCTGTTCTAACCCCATTCTCGCCTCTCCAGATATCACCAAGCCTTTCGTCCTTCATGTCGACGCCAGTGGTACCGGCGTTGGTGGTGTCCTGATGCAACTACGAGGCGAGGAGGTTCTACCTGTCAGCTACTACAGCTACAAACTGAAACCACACCAGAGGAACTACAGCACTATTGAAAAGGAACTACTATCCATCGTCCTGAACCTCCAACACTTCGCTCCGTACCTACAAGGCGCCAGGTCTACCACCATCTTCTCAGACCACAACCCTCTCCGCTTCCTACATCAAGCCCAATTCACCAACCAGCGTCTTCTACGATGGGCTCTGTATTTACAAGACTTCAACCTGGAGATCCGCTATATCAAGGGTTCTGACAACACCATAGCCGATGCCCTCTCCAGAGTTTATGAAGTAGAAGCGACTCCATCCATTACTCCACCACATAACGACGTACTTCTTCCAGAACCGCAGGCTTCGGGGGAGAGTTGTGACGATAATCTCCTTCAAGAGATTGAGCCTGCTCTTCCCTCCAAAATTACGTCTTCACAATTATATAAAAAGACTATGGAAGAAATGTCCAACAACGACAACAACACCAGCAAGGCTTGCAAGGGTGAGCAGAAACGTATGCAGCCCGCCACCTGTTCGGACCCAAATCACCAAACTACCCGTTGATCGCTACGGCTCCGCTGATTGGTCGCCGGTCTGGCTGCACCTGCACTCGCCCCCCAATACTACCCGATGTCTGGGGTCGCCCCAACATCAGTCTTCAGAATGTTCCGTGCTTTCGTAGCCAGCACTCCTCCCAGCTAGACTCTAGAGTGTACTGAGAGAGGTGGTGGCTTTAAGCCAATATTCCAGCACCTCCCACTTAACTTTTGTTGCACTTCTTATTATTTTGCCTTAACGTAACTTTTCATTGTGTCATTTAAGTATTCTTATTATTTTGATTCATTGATTTTATTATAAGAATTTGTTTGTGCATTATTTTCATGTTTGATTTATTTAACGTAATTAAAATTTCATTGTTAAAGTTTTACTTGTGTTTTGTGTGTCTTCTCCTTACCTTACCACAGACGAAGTTCCAGTTTTTCTATTTTTTTTTTTATAACTATGTGACGAGGCCATACCCCTAGCCTTAAACAGCCGAACACCAACGCGTTACCGTCACAATATATATATATATATATATATATATATATATATATATATATATATATATATATATATATATATATCTCTTCTCTCTCTCTCTCTCTCTCTCTCTCTCTCTCTCTCTCTCTCTCTCTCTCTCTTCAGCATTATCATATCTGTAATATATTATATAGTCAGTTTCTATAATGTTTCTATACTAATATAGGTTGTAGGTTGTATATGGCTTCCCGCTGGATTATTATTTATTTATAGAAAATCTATATTTTTTATTTAGCAAGTAATTGTGTCTTCTGCAAGCCGGACAGGACTAATAGTTTCACGTTCGTGCATGACTAGACGTGCACTGCTCATTGAGCAACTTTACCTTCGGTGTTGCTTATATCTATACCAGTAAACTGGAAGTGTGTTGTGTCGAATTGTCGAGTGGAGTAAATGTAAGGACTAGCAAGTGTTTCTAGTAGTGTGTGTTGTGTGTGGTTGTGGTGAACTACAAGTGTATGAGAGATGTTTATGAATTTATCAAATACAGGCTGTCAGGCTGTCAGGCAGGCAGGCAGGCAGGCAGGCAGGCAGGCAGGCAGGCAGGCAGGCAGGCAGGCAGGCAGGCAGGCACCCTTACAGTAGACATACACACTCACATAGGTAAGCAGGCTATTTAATCGATGGTGTAGGCCATGAGCCAATAACAAACATTGAAAATACAGAATATGGCGGCCACAGAGTATCTGGCAAACTTTTCCGCCCCCATGACGGTCAGCTGTGGTCTCCACCAACGCCAGAGGGAGGTTAAGAGGCTGTGACCCCGTTCCTTCGGCTGCATCTTGTTCCCCAATCTCCCACCGACACTCTGAGGAGATGACGACGAAGGGAATGTCCTCCTGTGGCTGATGAGGTCCCCGCCGGGGTGCTTCTTGTCGGAGACGAGGATGATTTTGCCTTCGGTAGGATGACTGTTCTCTGGGGGCTGGAGGAGGAGATCGATAATGATGTGGAAGACGATGATGAGGAAGTTGGAGAAGATGCAAAAGAGCAGCCACACGTCTACGAGTTTGAAGCTGGATGATTTCGGGAGAGACGAAGCCACCTGCGGGTGCAGTTTGATTGGTTTATAAAATGATATATTACTTGGTTTTCCCTGGTATTACTTTCTCTTTTTCCCCTTTTATTTAGGTATTTCTCTCTCTCTCTCTCTCTCTCTCTCTCTCTCTCTCTCTCTCTCTCTCTCTCTCTCTCTCTCTCTCTCTCTCTCTCTCTCTCTCTCTCTCTCTCTCTCTCTCTCTCTCACCTGGTTTGAGATGGTGGCCAAGACAAGGAGTGTGGTCAGCGAAGTCATAACACGGACTTCGAAGTTGTCCTTGACGAAGAAGAGGGTGAGGTAGCCCACGATGGCCATGATGAGAGAGGGCAGATAAATGTTGATCACCGCGTAACCGAAGCGGCGAGTCAATGAGACTCGAACCTGGGAGGAAAAGATTTTAGTTGTTAGGTATACAGGCACTCATCAGCTAGGAAGGTTTCTCCCAAAAGCGATACAAAGGTGCGAGAAACAACTACGCGGCAGTGACGAGAGAGGCAGAAAGACATTTTGAAAGAAGGATAGCACTGTAATTACACTTAGGCAATTACACCTAGGTAATTACACACACACACACACACACACACACACACACACACACACACACACACACACACACACACACACACACACACACACACACAGTGTCAGAGTAGTTAACGGATGGAATGCACTAGGCAGTGATGTGGTGGAGGCTGACTCCATACACAGTTTTAAATGTAGATATGATAGAGCCCAGTAGGCTCAGGAATCTGTACACCAGTTGATTGACAGTTGAGAGGCGGGACCAAAGAGCCAAAGCTCAACCCCCGCAAGCACAAATAGGTGAGTACACACACACACACACACACACACACACACACACACACACATACTGAATACCCTAAAACCGGTTCCAGCATCAAGCTTCAAGCCAAAATCACCTCACAACCTACCTTAAGAAGGCTGCCATATTCTTCATTCCCACTAAGATTGGTGGAGGTGTAAGACAGCTGAACGATGGAGACTTGTCCCACTGTGTACTCGAGCAACAGCTGGCTCCCCACATACTTCACCCAGCTGGTCGACTCATCCCACCTGCCAGAGACTCGACGTTACTCATATCCCAGAAACTCTTCACCACTCATAACAAAGAAGTGTATCATGGGTCTGTCTACCGTGTACCGTAAAGGAATATTTCTTGATATATCTCTTTAAAAATAACTGGGATAAAGAGCCTTAATCAGTGAATAAATAAAATTTAAACACGTAGATATTTTCATTATCAGAACTTGATTTGCAACAAGTGATTCAAATCATTGTAATACTGGCTGGACTAAACTGATGTATTGCACTGCAATCTAAATCAAAATAATTTTTTTAGGCTTAAAGTGAAGGAAATTTAGCGTAAACTTTGAAAGCTGATATATACTGTAAATACAAAGTTATGTTTACCATTAGAGAGGTAAGACAGTTCGACTCAATTTATATCCCAAAGTTAGGATGATGTCAAGACAATTCGAAGCAGAACTTATATAGACTAATACCACTCAGCATTCTACACCAACAGGTTCTGGGGCTATTCCGGATAAGAATCATCTCAAACACACACACACACACACACACCAGTTGATTGACGGTTGAGAGGCGGGACCAAAGAGCCAGAGCTCAACCCCCGCAAGCACAATTAGGTGAGTACACACACACACACACACCAGTTGATTGACGGTTGAGAGGCGGGACCAAAGAGCCAGAGCTCAAACCCCGCAAGCACAATTAGGTGAGTACAATTAGGTGTGTACACACACACAGCCGGCCGGCCGAGCAGACAGCACGCTGACACATGATCCTGTGGTCCCGGGTTCGATCCCAGCGAGAAACGATGGGCAGAGTTTCTTTCACCCTATGTCCCTGTTACCTAGCAGTAAATAGGTATCTGGGAGTTAGTCAGCTGTCACGGGCTGCTTCCTGGTGTGGGGGGGGGGGAAATAGTAATAGTAGAAACAGTTGATTAACAGTTGAAAGGCGGGCCGAAAGAGCAGAGCTCATCCCCCGCAAGCACAACTAGGTGAATACACACACACACACACACACACACACACACACACACACACACACACACACACACACACACACACACACACACACACACACACACACACACACACACACACACCTCATAAACTATCGACCTGACTTGACTTGGACTCAGAAGGCCTGCCAGTAATCCATCTCCCTGTGACAGTAGTTACTTCGTAGTTTCAACAAATCCACTTAAGGATCTTCCTGGTTTCCGTGTTGATGAGCTGTTGTTCTGCTCCTTAGACCTGCTGAACCATGTACATGTATCACTCATTCTTAAGTTGTATTTCCTAACAATGAAATTCATATTTCTGGAAAAGTAGGAGTGATCAGTAATAACTTGAGTGTCTGGAACATTTACTTACTTTAATCACCCCGGAACGTTTACTGGGGGGATTCCTCTTGGGTAAAATGATAGAATTCATTTATGAATTATTTCTTCAAGTGTGAGCGTGGACATCAGGCCTGGTAGGAGACTGCTGTGAGTGCGAGGATGGACACCTAGGATACGTCTAGAACATTTCCTCTGTTCACAATCACCAATCGCCACTCGGAGCCTCCTACTGCTAACCAATCAACACTCAGAACGCCATCAAGTAAACCTACCCACCAACCAGCTGAGTGGGGTCTAAGACCCAAGAAAAGTATGTACTCCCTACGTCATCACTGTAAACAAATCTAATCAAACCCAACTTAACGTAACCTAATGTAACGTAACGTAACCTTACCTTAGCTTACCTAACCCAACCCAATCCAACCCAACGTAGCGAAAGTACATAAAATATTATGATTTGCATATTTTGTGCAGGTGTGTGACGTCACTGTGACGTTGTAACGCTTACACCGGTACAGGTTTTAGGCCCTACTGGAGTGGCCAGCTCTCCTGCGCGCGGCCCCAACAGGACTTACTTGAGGTTGTCTCTGGAAGCTGAGGCGAGCTGGAAGAGCAGATAACAGTTCTGATGGTCGAAGGGGTACCTGGTGAGATCGAAGTCGCAGGTGAAGGCGGAGAGGTACTTACGGTAGCTAACCAGTGGGTTACCCCATCCCGGATACAGCAACACTGGGGAGGGGGGGGGAGAAGTGTGCAATAATTGCAATTGCATCACCTGGTCCATTTACACTGTGAAAATAATGATTATTTCTCGAATAATAATAATGCTGGTAATCTATGTATGATTCCACTGTGATACTATTCTATGTGATACTGTAATATTATGATACTATTCCTCTCGAATAGTATATCGCATTTTGAAACTATAAAACATCATACTGAAAATTATAGTGGCTCGCAAAATTGATATGATGTTCCGTTTTCTATTGTAGGGTCCTCGTGTAGGTTAGGTTTGGACAATATTGTACATAAGGTTAGCGATGTTGGGAGCGCTCAAGAGGACTGCAGGCGTTATGATGACCGATCATTGCAGCCTTCTTAGGCACCATGACTTGTCCTCGTAGCCTACTACAATGAATCTATCCTTGCAGCCTACTAAAGCCCTCAGGACCTACCCTCCTGGCACAGCACCTCTCCTGTGCCAGGTAAGTTCACTACGGGCTCACCATAGCCCGTGCTACTTGGAACTTGTTCCGAGTAGCTGAATCTATAGCAACAACATACCCTCTTGGGCCAGAGAGAAGTCACTGGCTCCCGGGGCGGTGTGACGAAGCACGCTGGTTCTGGTGTGCTGGTCAATTAGCGTGACCTCATTTTCCACTGTGTTGAGGAAGCTGACGAAGGGATACCACAAGTCGGACTGGTTCCTGTCGATCTGGTTCAGCCTGAAGGGACAAACGGACAGTCAGTTGAGGCAGGGAGACAGTAGATTGTTTAGTGTATCACTACCCCAGTCCCTTGCCCTGGGACTGGGGTAGTGACCCCAGTCACCAACCCCCTCCCTCCGAACACCAACATTCTCCCCAGCCCCCCGGCTCACCCACCCCCATTCATGGACGCCTTAGGTTCTAAACTTCCGCCGGTGACGCCTTACCCCAAGTCGTCCTTGAGGTTGATGAAGGTGGCGCGCGTCTCCATCCAAGAGAGGGAGAGGTTGAAGCCCACTTTGAGGATCATGCCCGGAGTGTCCACTTGAATGTTCTCCAGCGTTGCCTCCGCCACCACCTTCAGGCGCCCCGTTACTTCGTCTTCTGGCCGGGGCGCCACCGAACTCTGAGCGGGGAAAGGAAGAGACTTTGAATTAAATGGGAGTATTCTTCTGGGTGCTTCGGAAGGTTTCAAAGAGAGCAAGCGTAGTTTCTGGGTATATTTTTCCCCCCTATTTTTTTCATTAATTTATGATTATTCCGCACATTTGATGGTGCTACATAGCCTTCCCGGCTTGGTGCTTTCTTTTAATAATTATTTACTTACTTGGGTCATCGACGGGAATTCAAAACTTGGGTCTGAATAAATACGAATGACAAGGCAGCCCGTCCTCATAAACAAAGGCCAAAGTCCATCCCATGCACCCGCCAAACCCCAACCCGTCCTCAGACCAAGTCCATTCTATCCAGCGGTCGACCCCAAAGACGTATATATCAATTTTAACATTCTGTTCATTCAAAATATGAGTTTTCTCAAATATAAATTAATATTATTATGTATTAGCACACTGTGCATATTTAGGCATTGGTTAAGTGTTTAGGTTCTGTTGTCGATTAATTGTACTGCGTTGGTGAAGCATTTACAGCGTTGTGGTTCGAACAAAATTCGTCAGTGAAGAACTTGTTCCGGAACTTGTTCTTGTTTGGCGGGTGCATGGAATCACTTTTGGGTCTTTGTTTGGAGGACGGGCTGCTGTGTATTTCAACCCGTCCTCGACTCATGTCCATTACATTCAGCGGTCAACCCCACAGACGCATTCATAAATTTTAACATAATGTTCATTCAAAACAGGAATTTTCTCAAGTATAAATTAATATTATAATATATTAGCATATTGTGTATATATAGGCATAGGTTAGGTTAGGTTAGGTGTTTAGGTTCTGTTGGCGATTATTTGTATTTGTAGTACGTGGGTGAAGCATTTACAGCGTTGTGATTCGAACAAAATTTGTCAGTGAAGCATATGTTCCGGATATGTTCGAATGTCAGCAGTTGTGAGTCGTGTGTAAGCCATTTTTCATTCATAAACAGCTGGTTTGGCGGGTGCATTGAATGGACTTTGCCCTTTACTTATGAGGACTTGTTGGACAAGGGGTCTCAAAGGTACCTAACTGGTACTCGAATGAGACTTCAAACCTAATTTGTAAACTCTCAGTTGAGTACTAGTCAGGTACTTCTCTTAAACACACACACACACACACACCTTGTAGTCGACGGAGAGCCGCACCAGCTGGCACTGTGCCTCATCGCTGTGGTC